GGCATTGCAGAGTAAGTATGATACCGAAGAGGCTGAAGCGAAAAAATATGCAGCTAGTAGATTTTTTGGTTTCTAAATGGTGGACAACAAATCAGTGGTAGATCAAGCTCAAGACTTCATCATGATTGTTGGAGAGCTTAGGTCCGAAGAGGATAAAATTGGAGATAACCTTATTTTTTGTGGCATAGTGGATAAACTTTCACCTTCTTGGAAGGAATTTCAAAAAACTATGCGCCACAAACAAAAGGAAACCTCTCTTGAAACCTTGATAATGAAAATCCGCATGGAAGAAGAAGCAAGAGGCCAAGATGCACTTTTACAAACAGAAGAGAACAACATCACATCGAAGGTAAATTTAATTACTTCGAATAATGCTAATCCTGAAACTCACAAAAATACTTCTTTGAAGCCTAAGAAGAAAAAATTCAAGAAAAATAATGGTAGACCTCCCAAGAAAAATAATGGTGAAAATCACCAAGCACAAAATCAACAAGTTCAAGAAAAAGGACCATGCTTTGTTTGTGGCAAGAGTGGGCATATTGCTCGATTTTGCAGATTCCGGAAACGTGGTCCTAACCCTCAGGCAAACGTTACCGAAGAACCTTTTGTGGCGGTGATTACCGACATAAACATGGTTGAGAATGTTGATGGATGGTGGGCTGATTCTGGTCCAAACCGTCATGTCTGTTATGACAAAGACTGGTTTAAAAAATATACTCATTTTGAGGAGCCCAAAACCATCATGCTTGGTGATGCTCACACTACTCGAGTGCTTGGAAAGGGAGATGTTGAATTGTGTTTTACTTCTGGAAGGATATTAACATTGAAAGATGTACTTTATACTCCTTCTATGAGAAAAAATTTGATGTCTAGTTTTCTTCTTAATAAAGCAGGCCTTAAACAGATTATTGAATCTGATCAATATGTAATAGTGAAGAAAGGTATTTTTGTGGGGAAGGGGTATGCATGTGATGGGATGTTTAAGTTGAATGTTGAAATGAATAAAACTTCTACTACTGTTTATATGCTTTCTTCTACTAATTTTTGGCATGCTCGTTTGTGTCATATTAATGATCGTTATGTTGGAATCATGAGTAGTTTAGGATTAACCCCAATGGTTAAAAAGAATTTTGAAAAGTGTGAGGCTTGTAGTAAAGCCAAGATCATTAAAAGGCCTCATTTTCAAGTTGAAAGAAAAACTGATTTGTTAGAATTAATTCATACTGATATTTGTGAACTTGGTGGAATTCTAACTCGTGGAGGTAATAGATATTTTATCACTTTCATTGATGATTTTTCTAAGTTAACATATGTTTACTTGATGAAAAATAAAAGTGATCTTTTTGAAAATGTCAAAACTTATCTCAATGAGGTTGAAAATCAGTTTGGAAGAAAAATAAAAAGAATTAGAAGTGATAGAGGCCGTGAATATGAATCAAATGAGTTTAATTCTTTTGTTAGATCATTGGGAATAATTCATGAAACTACTCCTCCTTACTCTCCTTCGTCTAATGGAGTAGCATAAAGGAAAAACAGAACTTTGGTTGAATTGACTAATGCCATGCTAATTGAGTCACATGCACCTTTAAATTTTTCGGGTGAAGCTATCTTAACTGCTTGTTAGTGTGTTGAATCGTGCGCCTCATAAAAAGTCTAAAATGACACCTTTTGAATTGTGGAAAGGTTACAAGTCAAGTTTGGGTTATCTAAGAGTTTGGGGTTGCCTAGCCTATGTGAGGTCAATGGATCCCAAGATTATAAAGTTAGGTAAGAAAGTTACTACTTGTGCTTTTCTTGGTTATGCTTCAAATAGTACAACCTATAGATTTTTTAATCTTGAAGAGAATATTGTAATAGAATCTGGTGATGCTATTTTTCATGAAAATAAATTTCTTTTTTGATACTAAAAATAGTGGGGGTCAAAGGATTGAACAAAATATTTTGTCACTACCTAGTTCTTCTACTTCAACTTTGAAAAATAAAGAATTCGTTGATTTTGAGTTAAGAAGAAGTAAAAGAGCTAGAGTAGAAAAAGATTTTGGTCCTGATTTTTATGTGTTTAATATTGAAAATGACCCTCTAACTTTGAACGAAGCATTATCTTCACATGATTCTATATTTTGGAAAGAGGCTGTAAATGATGAAATGGAATATCTAATTTCTAATAAAACTTGGAAGTTAGTTGATTTACCACTGTGTTGTAAAACAATTGGTTGCAAATGGGTCTTAATGAAAAAGTTGAAACCGGATGGTTCTATTGATAAATACAAGGCTAGGCTAGTTGCAAAAGGTTTTAAACACCTAGAAGGCCTAGAATTTTTTGATACTTTTTCTCCGGTAACAAGAATTACATCCATTAGAATTTTAGTTGCTATGGCTGTAATTTTTTATTTGCAAATTCATCAAATGGATGTAAAAACTGCTTTCTAAATGGAGACCTAAATGAATAAATTTATATGGACCAACCCGAGTGTTTTGTTGAAGCTGACCAAGAAAGCAAAGTATGTAAACTTACTAAATCCCTATATGGCTTGAAACAGGCACCAAAACAATGGCATGAAAAGTTTGATTCCTGCATGATTGAAAATGGTTTTAAAATAAATGAGCGTGATAAGTGCATATATCATAAGTCTTGGAATAATTCTAATGTGATTATTTGCCTATATGTTGATGATTTGTTGATCTTTGGCTCTAACATGAATGTTATTGATGAAGCTAAAAATGTTCTTATAAGCCATTTTGATATGAAAGATCTTGGTGAGGCAAATTTTATTCTTGGAATAAAAATAACAAGAACATGTGAGGGGATTTTCCTTGACTATCACATTATGTTGAGAAAATTTTGAAAAAATATAACTTTCATGATTGCAAGCATGTTGCTACTCCTTTTGATTCAAGTATTCACTTATTTCCTGTTGAAAGTGAAAATGATGTAATAAATCAAAAGGAATATGCTAGTATAATCGGAAGTTTGAGATATGTGACTGATTGCACTAGGCCTGATATTGCATATGCAGTAGGAGTACTTGGCAGGTTTACAAGCAAGCCAGGTAATAAACATTGGTATGCTATAACAAGAGTTATGAGATATATAATTGGAACGAAAAATTGTGGTTTGTTCTATAAAAAATATCCTGCTGTACTTGAAGGCTTTTGTGATGCGGATTGGAACACTTTGTCAGGTGATTCCTGTTCTACAACTGGTTATGTCTTTACTTTAGGTGGTGGTGCTGTTTGTTGGAGATCAAAAAAGAAAACTATAATTGTTAACTCTACTATGGAGGCTGAACTAATTGCTTTAGCTTCAGCTAGTGAGGAAGCGAATTGGTTAAGAGATTTATTGTTTCAAATTCTTTATTTTGAAAAACCAATTCCTCCTATTTTAATTCATTGTGATAGCACCGCTGCAATTGGTAGAGTTCAAAACCGTTATTACAACGGTAAATCCAGACCTGCAAGGAGGAAACACAGTAATGTAAGATCGTATTTGACAAATGGTACCATTAACGTTGATTATGTCAAATCTTGTGATAATCTTGCAGATCCTCTTACGAAGGCCTTAACAAGAGAAAAGGTCTGGAGCACATCGAGGGGGATGAGATTGAAGCCTACAAATTCTTGAGTCATATATGAGGAAACCCAACCTGGGGACTAGAGATCCTATAACCAGGTTCAAAGGGAAAAACTAATCATATGATAACTTGTTGTGAAAAATGCACTAATTTTTTCCCTCCCTATGATGTGAGTGCATTATTTCCTGTAGTTTGTGAAGGTTGAGTTGATAAAACTCTTAATGAATATCTGTAGCCCGTATGGGTGGAGTGTTAATCTTACAGGAGCACTCTCGACAGATTTCACCTATGTGAAGTGTGGTAGGTCGCTTCCTATGAGAATGGGGCTTATTCTCAAATGCACTAATGAAACCGGGATAGCACATGGCCATAAAGTGCTGGCTGTTAAAGCTCATGTCAACACCTTGATTATTATGTGTGAGCAGTAATATTTTATTTCCCTTAAGCAGTCATAGTTCAAGTCTGAGACCACTACGACTCTGGAGTAAAAGTTACTGTTCACTAAGTGGAGGTTCAATGCAGAGCACACCTTCATTATGCATAGTAGTCTTCCTTCAGCTGAAGAGTGGGGGATTGTTAGGTTATTAACATTTTAATATTAATATTTAACATATTAAATTGCTTTATTTTGGAGTTATAAGAATGAACTTTGGAATGGATGACTTCTACATCATCCATTAGCATTGGTTATCTATCAATGTATTTCATTCTTAATTCCTCCATTACTCCCTTTGTAACCTATGTGACATATGTAACTCCCTTTGTAACATATGTAACATATGTAACTCCCATTGTAACTTATGTAACCTATGTAACTCTCATTGTAACCTATGAAACTCCTAAGACCATTATCTTCACTATTTACTACCTCCATTATCTTCCTATTCATTGCTAGGAAGACTTCTTGTAGTATAAATAGTGGTAGTCTTCATTTAGTTTTAGACACACACAATTCATAAGAGAAAACAAAGAGTGAAAGAGTTAGTCTAAAAGAGAGTTCTTATTAGTTGAAGGAAGGTGTTCTTTTTTGTGGAGCTTTGAACTCAACTCTTGTCCAGAGTTGTTGAGTTAAACTTTGTGAAGGCTGTTGTATCCTGGAGGGGACAAGTCAAAGAGGACTACTGCTGGACCGGTGAAAACATTTGCTGCGGTGGGCTTGAATCTCCTTAAAGAGAGCGAGATATCCGCGCCTCAGCCTGAAGAGATTACTTTCTTCATTTTATTTTCAATTGTAATCTTGCAATTTTATTATCTTGTAAGTTTTTTCACTAACAATTTTAACGGTGTTTGTTATCCACAATGGAGCCTAAATCATTTTTGCCTCCGTTATGGCCGATTTGGGAATAACTCTCCTACAAATGATATTTCTATACCCAAAGTTAGATCGAGAGACTTCTTGCTAAGATAGAAGCACTACCATCAACTAGACCACATTTTTTTTCTGGTCCCAACAAGTTTGAATGACTTAAATTGATATGTGGTAACAGGTAAAGCACGAAGGTTGATTCAGTCCTTGTAAAGGGAGATGCAAACTAACTCTACTTTTTACGAGCACAAACCATAAGTTAAGGGATGATCAAATTTTTTTGTTGTTATTAATGGCTGGAACATAATTTAATTTCATACCATGTTATCCTCATTCAAACAAAAAAATAATCAACAAAAATAAGACCAACAAACTAGGAAAAGAATACATTATGACTAATTGGTTCGAAGAAAATAATTGCACTTGTTGGAAAAGCTTATAAATGCTTCAATAGATTTATGGTATTAGCTGAATAACCGTTGCAGTTCTTATGTTCAGGTACTATGACAAATTCTTTGGATTTATCGAATGCTCAAGTTAGAACTTCAAGAATTCATGGAGTCTTATTGCGTCAAAACTATGGGTACGACTACAAAATGGCATAACCTTGTAAGTCTTCAAAAATTTTGAAGGAAACATTGAATATGTTTTGTTCAAATGAGATTTACTTGTCTACCAGCAAATCAAATATTTTTGCGCTAAAAAGAAGCATGGTACTGTAAATACAAAACAAGGAAGTCATGCCCTGAGCCTATACCCTGGGCAGGACTGGAACTCGACGACCATTGATGGTCTTGAGCGGAACCTTGGTCTGGCTTGCTTAACATAGAAGAAGACAACAATCATAAACTTAATTGATTTGAAAAAATGTAATAACTGAAAATATTCTTAAAACTGAAACAATAAAACATGACCAAAATTCGCAACCATGTTTTAACAATAATCGATAATACTCGATAAGACTCAAAATACTAAACTCTGACTATCTTTGAAGACTCTAACATGACTAATACAGATGTTGGGACATACCCCACAACATCCTAATGATCTAATACTAGAAAGAAAGTGAAAGAGTTCTATGAAATGCAAGGAAGCTCACCAACTAACTCTAGAGTGCTCAACTAGATCTATAGTGCGCTAGATGCCAATCCTCGTCTCCTCCGTCTACATCATAATACGATGCAGACCAACTAGCATCAGAACATTGAATGTATGAGTATGCTTATTAGAATGCTAAAAATACAAAGATAGGCTTGAAAGGAGAATCTTAAGAACTTACCTCGCTCAACTCAACTCTACCACACTTAACTCATTTCAATAGAAAGCAATTTAAAAAAAGAGCAATATAACGAAAATTTGTTTAAACATGATTTTAAATATATATCTATGCAAAGATACAATATAACTTTGAGATGTATGTAAAAATACAATAATTTGTGTATATAAATACATTTAATTTATGTGGGAGTTTCTCTAACCGACAGCCATAACTTAAGAGCTATAGCGATGACACAACGTATTGCCTCACGTTAAAAGGTCTTCCTATACCTTGCCATTGGTATCGAACCAGAACTGCTAAGTGGATTCACTAGTCTATCCTAAAAAGCACTAAAGGTATCATATAAAAAGTATTATCCTTTTCTACTCATGGTTTATGGGGGATGTGAGTTATCTGAACTCTCCCATATATCGATGCTCAATACTACTCCAAAATATAATTATATTAGCTCTTACATTTTTAAGGCATAATTACTTTTGAATTTGAGATTAGTGCTCAAACTTGGGAATTTAAATTTACATGTTTACTTCATCGAGAAAGCTATTACTCTTTTTTGAAAACTAGCCCAAAAGCTCTTTGGAAATCTCAATTTCCATTGTTATTTAAACGTGAAAACATTTGTTTACTTCTTTGGGAATACTTCGTCCCCATATACTTCTTTGAAAAAAAACTAAACTTTACTCTATAATAACTAAAACCTCAAATATTCAATCACAGTTAAAACATTTGTAAAAGACTTGTGGAACTTGAAATTGAATTCTTCTTCTTATATTAACTCTTTACTCAACTTGATATTTAAGTCATAAAACAAAGTTAAAAGCATTTGCAAAAGACAACTCGAAAAGACTCTAAGAATTTTCTAGTTTTGGCTTCTAACTGTCCATTAATTCAAGCTATTGATTTAAGGTTCTAATTCATATTTCTAGATGATTTCTATATGTTTAGAAGTCATTTAGTGTAGTTAGAATAATTATAAAGTTTAACAACACTTTAGGAAGTCCTAAACGAATTGAATTACGAAAAGTGAGTGAAAACGCTGTTTTGGGTGCGTTCCGCCTGCCTCACTTGACAGAGACTCCTTTTTGGTGCACTGCCAGCGCACTACACCAGTCTTCATGGCGCTATGGGGGTCGGCTTGTCATCCATTCCCCATGTCAATTTTTTACGAATTGTTCGTCTTTTTTTCTGATCTTAAATCGTTCTAATTTCGTCCCTATTCTCAAATTCACTTTAGATTTATGTATCCACATCATATACACAAGGATCTAACCCGATGAATTTAAGAAACAACACTTTCTATCTCAAGAAATTCATCAACTTAAAATCATGTTAAAGAATGAATGCATTTCAAAGAACAACCAAGAAGAACATTCAAAATCCAATCGTTTTAGAACTAGATAAGGCTGAATCAAATATTACTGATACGTGGGTGAACAAAACCAATGTTATCAGAGACCCACATACCTTTTTAGGGATCACCTCGACGAAATGCACACTCAAGCGTGAAAGCTTCTTGGGGATTCTTGATTTCTCTCTTGTTTTCTCTGTTCTCCAAGCCCTAGCATGGATTCTATCTTTTTTTTTTAAACCGAACAGATTCTGTTTTTACCCCAATCAATTCCTAAAACGAATTGATAAAATAAGGTAAGGAAAAGACTTATTTGCCCTTCCCAAATCCGGATTATGCTTTCCTTAATCCAACAACCCAACTTCCGAAAGACATAACTCACTCATCCGAACTCAGAATCCCGCAAACTTGGCGACGTTCGAAAGATCATTACAAGGGCTTTCCAATCACAACTAGAACTACGCCTTACTCATCTTAAGCTACGAGTTATGTCTATTTGAAGATGACAAAAAACTCTCTTTTAACGTACTTGAAAATTTCCAGATTTCTTTATACATTCAAAAAATAAGTATTTCCAAATTTGAAACACCTTTCTAGTTCATTATAGTGATCAAATGTTACAAAGGAAAAATCGTTTATGTGGTAAGATTAACAAATACAGTTATGAAATTGAAGTCATTGAGGCTGTAAGGGATAAATATATATTTGGAAAAAAAATGTTGCCAATTGAAAATATATTGACATATCAGGAAATATCATTAGGCCTTTCAAATTACGAGTCTAGTTTAAGAGGTTTTCTAGGGGAAGCAATGTTGGGATACAAGAACTTATTATCAACCATCTGCATTCCAGCAACAGTATAGAGATATCTTCCTCTTTCAACATAAAAAATGAAATCACTTGAACAGAAGAATCTCATAGAAGAAAGGTAGGTACACTGATTTACAGGTGTAACAAACTAAACCAATAGTGATTTCCCATCTTTGTAACACCTTATAGCTTAGACAAATAACATGAACTGATGTTTAACCGTACATACAAATCTAAAACAATATGAGTGAATTAAAGTGAAGTGAATCAATAGATAATTATCAGATTAATTGAAAAAATCATGACTGCCATCGAACAATCAAGCTGATAGGTACAAAACAGGAGCTCTATTCAGAATCAATATAAAAATCCTTGGAGATATTTTGGAATGATAACTGACCTTGTTAAACCAAGATGACAATATAAGCTCATTAGCACAACGAACACTTGCAAAAAGATATTTTCTATATTTTCATTCATTTGGTCTAATTCATAACTGTTGAGATCAAGATTAGCGTGTTAAAAGATGACAAGTACCTAAACTTAATTTTCATATGATTCAAAGAAACATGTATCACCTTTGAGTGAATATTTCTCCACGTCGAGATGATCAGGATAGATCGATTGCAGTCATTATTAACCTTGACAATGCACAAATTCATTTCCGTAACGGATAATGTACTACTGCCTCTCCTTAGCTGATCTACCATTAAAAAGTTTATTCAAACTTTATGTTCAGATGTGACGATGGTATTTCTTATTTTCCCATAATTGAAGAGTGATTTGAATTTGTTGTGAATAAGTTAGTGGAGGATGTACGCCTGAATATATGTTATTGAACTAATTATCTGACTGGGCATCATGACCAACCCTATAGCTTTCCAAAAGTTCTGTGTAGTAGTTCATCAATGATAAAAATCAACTGTAACAATTGAAGAACATTAGATGAATGCATACTAAATTAGACATCTCTAATGAGTTTAACGCTAGAAAGTTTGATAATCTAGGATGAACATATTAACCAAATTATGTCAAATTGTCCTTAATTGGAGTCATTGAATTTATATAGATTTTGTGGTTTTAATGTATTGATATTGTGAAAACGATTAAAATTGAAGAAATCCATATCGATTCAATGATTCCAATTGAGGACAATTTAACATTATTTCTATAATGTTTTCATCCCGAATAAATTTTTTTTCAGAGTTAACCTCTTTTGAGGTGTTTAGTTTAGTAAGAAATCTTGTTATATTCAACATTTACTCCACTTGAGTTATATAATTGATGAACTACTACAAAGAACTTTTGGCAAGTTATAGAGTTGGTCATACCTTGTAGAATAAGCAATTCTATAACATACATTCAGGCTAAAATCCTACACTTTCTTACTCACAAAAAAATCAAGTCAATTGTCAATTATGGGAAATATGACAGACCATCATCATATCAGAACACAAAGTTAAGACTGAAAATTTTAATGGCTAAGGAGAGATAGTACATTATCTGTGAAGGAAATGAATATGTGCACTAATGAGATATTTAAACGACCATACTCCTCGTTGTCATAAATAATGTTGTTCATAAAAGTCAAGAAGTATTGTCAATCATTAGACAGAGTAGAATTTTAATTTTGAACTTGTCTGTTATGGACAATAAAGAAAGAATTTGGACAATAAGAGCATAAGGTAGCTTATTAATCCTATCAATTTATTCACATTGTGTCTAAATTTTGGGATTTTTCTAAGGTAAGTTTTCAATAAGAAAACTTTAGCGGTTCCAAAAAATTGGTCTTGGTTGCTCAAACTATATTAC